TGAAAATAGATATGGTCATGTCAGTCGAACGAAACGGAGAGTAGTCGCAAAGGAGGGTATGACTCGCCTGGTATGTTCAGCTACGGGATTTTCTGCAACCCCGACCCGTAAGGTGTCTGCTGTGTCTCCTCCTTTGGTGTCGTCGAGTTCCAGTTGTGCACAAGTGCGCGCCGTCGATGTATACTGCCGGAAGAAAGTGACGGTTGTGGGTGGACAAAGGGAGGAAAAGGAGGTGGAAGGAAGAAGATGAAAGCAAAGCTTGAAGCGCCGAGGGGACGCTTCAAGAGAGTCTAATTCGTGAGAGAAATCAACGATGATTGAGCGCAGATGGTTGTTGAGGGCAGGCGTCCGAGTCGTGACTTGACAGCCTTTGACAGCCCGCGGAATTTCGATTTCTTCACATGCCATTCAAGGCTCGGACAACCATCTATTCGCGCTATATCGGTCTATCAAACCACGGAGCATCGAGAGCGCCCCATCAGGAAAACCTCCCGGAACTATTTACTACTAATTATCACTCATTAGCCAAAATTATGAGGTTTTAGGATGTATCAGTTTTATACTAGTCCACCCAAAATTTATTTCTATTTATCACATAACTTTGGCATAACTTAGAACTAATTTTGCATAACTTTCACTAATTCTTCCACCAGCTATTTAGGCACATTTAGTTCACATTGTTCATATTTTGGCCTCAAATAGAACATCTCAGGGCACTTCAGCTTCACATTACAGTCAGCATCAAGCTCATAGCACCAAGGAGCAATGGAGAGGCAAAAAAAGGCATAATTGAGGTAACACATCATTCTAAGTCTACTACATGCAAGCATTCCATCTTATACAATACAATTAGAGGTAGTATGTACAGAGTAGTACAGAGTAACATATGTGAGAGGCTGGGAGCATGAGAGCGTGGGCACGCGGAAAGACACCAAGTGCCAGAGGTGGCAGGCAAGAGTAAGAGCGAGGGCAGAGGACACGGGAAGGTACAGTGCTAGAGATGGTGACCAAAAGTAAACAAGAGAGGGCAAGGGTGAATAAGAGAATTGAACGATGAAGGGAAGAGCCAGAGCATGGGTAAGGGAATGAAAGAAGGTACAAGGGCAAGAGGGAGAGGGCAAGTGCAGTGCGAGGACAAACACGAGAGCGAGTGTGAGGGAGGTGCGCATGGAAAGAGGGGAAATAAATTGGGAGGCACAGATTACGAGGGCTGTGGGCAAGAAAGTAAGTGAGCGCGAGGCAAAGATACCAACGCGATGCAAGTCAGGGTCCAGGTGCGAGAGCGAGCATACAAGACGAGCATGATACGGCAAGCGTGCGTGAGGGCAAACCGACCACAGCGCGAACGCAAACGCGGGCACAGAACGAGAATGCAACGGCGTGCGACAGTATGCGCTTGCGTGAGGGCGACAATATTAGAACGTAAACATCAACGCAAAGGTGAGTGTGGATGTACATACTTATGAGAGGGTGCATGCAATAGGGTGCATGCGAGAGGGCGAGTCCCTGTGTGAGCGAGGGTACGTGAGGGGAATAAGATAATGATGCGAGTGGGCAATGGACATACCGGTGTGCGTGCTTGCGAAAGGGCGCGTACGAGGGGATGCGCATAAGGATGTGGACGTGAGGGTGTGAGCCTGCATGCGAGAGGACAGACATATACGAGGGCGAAGAACGAAAATGAAAGCGGCACCCAACGCAATCCACTTCGACGAACGAGGGGGGTGCGCGTATGCGTGAACGTGAGGGGTTCTGCGTGAGAGGATGAGCGACGAGCGGTGAAGGAGCGGGGATGAGAGCGGGAGAGCAAGCAAAGAGAATGTGTGGTTGTGATGAGGGAGAGAAACGGGGGAGAGCGTCGACGAAAAACCTGGAAAAAAGGTCGAAAAAAACAACAGTGTGATCATGGAAGAGAACACGATAGAGAAACTGAGGGCTAAAACCACTTACACTAGCCCTTTCCAACCTCCCACTTCGTTCATCCGGCCGTCACCGCCGTATCGTGGGTTAACTGCGGGTATCGTTGAGTGACGATGAGGTAGTGAGAAGGGGAGGGCGAACGCGAGTACGTCATTAGCAAAGGGAGAAAGAAGAGGGCGCGACATGATTATTAAGTATCACAAGCGGTGTGTAAGAGGATAGTATGCGCACCTTATCGACTTCGCCACCTGCCTGTTCATCGACCAACGTTCCTCCCATCCACTTGGCCGAATGAGGGCGGTTGCGGGTGTGCGTGCATGCAAGAGGTCGCACGTGGGCGAGCAAACACCGCATAGGCAAAAAACCACGACCAAAGCAAAAGAGTAAGTAAGAAAGAGTGGATAAAAATTCAGTGAGGAGGCGAGGGGAAGGCGGAAGGTGAGATGGTGGCGAGAGGGCGAGTGCGAATGTTGACGACGGCAACTGGAAGGCTGCCGTAGCGACGGAGAGCAAGACGAGGACGCAATGGAAGAAGAGGGCGGGGATGGTCACGCAAGGGTGAGCAAGAAATGGAGGTTGCGGATATGGTGAGGGTCGGGTGCGCATGCGAGCGAAGAAGGCGGAGATGGAGAGAGGGACGAAGGAGCAGAAGTCGTGCGCGACGCGAAAGTCAACATGAGCCAAACATGGCCAAACAAACGCGTGGCGCAAACTTGTGGCGACAACGCGCCTTGCAACTCTTGCTCTTCGTGAGTACCGGCGTTCCCACCAAGCGCCATGTCCATTGCAAATTGGCGGACTTTGAACGCTGCCGGGCAAGCCGCATCCCATTTTGACGCGGGCCACAGTAAGACTCACCGATTTGGCTGGGTGGCACCTATGTACGAGACCTTGCGCGTCTAGGGCAAGGTGCACCCCACCAGTAAATCCTATAAATTCTAGTATATTATTTGACATACATTCACTTCGTTTGGTCGCGACAGAATCTTTTCACTCTCCTCGAGTGATTTGATATGAGCGTATGGTTCGTCCTGTAGCTCGTTCACGCTGAAATTAGAAAATTCTGTCGCGACCAAATTAAAGAGAAGTATTTTAGATGAATTTATACATAGCTATGTTGAGTGTCACTATGCACACTGTTGCCTTTGTTGTGTTGCAATGTTCGTAAGTGACAGCCTGCAGCCACTCGGCTACGGGAGTAAGCGAGACGCGGCACAGCGGAGTTTGAACCAGCACGCAATAGGTGAGTGCCGGTACTCACTCTTCGTCTTCCACCCGACCTCGACCTACGTCGTGCACGGGCGTTGGTTATACGAGTTAACAGGCACTGCATGAAGGCCAGACAAAAGGTAAAGCAGCCGCACGCATCGTGCACGTAATCGCCTCGGTGGGACGAAGGCTAGGCGGCCTTGGAGGACATGGTACAGGACAGTATGCTCAGGTGCGCACCTTACACTAACCTTCTCTCATTGTCCTTACTTGTCGTCAGTGTACTGATCATTTGTTACTCTCTTCACTATGCCTATCTCTCCTGTCTCTCCTGTCTCCCCTGTCTCCCATCCACCCAACCTACCTTGTGCACCAGAACTCCCCGGACAACGGACGTACGAGCTAAACGGGTATGGGAATGAAGGAAAGTCAGGCTGCGAACGGTAAAGCGGCCGGGGATGAATATAATAATGGCTTAGGTGCGTCCCTTTCGGTTCTTTATGTACCCTATTCTCTACCTCATTCGCCGTCGCCTCAAACTCTCTCATCAGCGCATCCCCATCGACCTCCGCCGCCTCCTTTTTCTCCCACGTAGATACAATAGCCAGCTACATAAGTGGTGGCCTAGTATCCGTCATCCCCGTTCTCGTTGTCGCCGCCAACCCACCCGCGCCCATTCCGATCTCTCCGCCTGCATTATCAACGGCATGCCGGGTTGCGTGCCCGACGTATTCACCGCACCGCCCCGTCAAGGCTCAGAGCCGAAAATTGGGCGAGGGGGGAGGGAGCATGTCGCAAGTCTTTCTCTTTGTTCCACCCAATTCCAGGATGTACACAAACCCCTCGACGACGGATGCGAGTTGATGGGCACGCGAGGCAAGGTCAGACAAAAGCAATGCGATGACGGAGGCAGAGAATGAATGGAGACATGTTCAGGTGCGTCCCTTTCGCTGGTTCCCCTCGTCTCCGACTTCTTTTTCGCATATTGACTGCCCCCCTGCTTTCTCTTACATTTAACCTCCCTATCCCTGTCGTCTCGCATCTACCTTCCATTGTTCGACTATTCGGATCCTCCTGTGTCGTAAACAAAGGTGCGCATGAAACGCGCGAGCTAATGGGGATGGGGATGGAGGAGAGCTCGACGAAAGATACAGCGGCTGTGGATGAAGAGAACAATGGCTCAGGTGAGTCCCTTTCGACCTCATCCGCCACCGCCTCTCCGCATCAGCACCTCATCGACCTCCTCTACCTCCTTTCCCTCCCAGTTAGATACAATAGCCAGCTGCGTCCCGGTGGGGTAGCATCCGTCATCTTGAACTTCCTCACCGACCTCTGCTACCCACCCGCGCCCAATCCGATCTCCGCCCACATTATCCACGGCATACCCGGTTGCGATATCGCATCCGTCAGGCCCGACGTATTTACCGAACCGTCACGTCAAGATTCGGGTCGAAAACTGGGCCAGGGAGGAGGGAACATGGGCAGCGGAGTGCTGAGGTCCTGGCTGCGAAGGCTGGACTGCATGGGTCCGGGACGCCGACCGATGGGTGAAGCACTCGTCAGTACGTTCATTCCTCTTCGTCGAAGATCTCATTTGTGTTTTCTGCTCCTTATATGTTGCTGATGCTTCACAGGCGAGTACCTCTACTTCAGGTACTCCTTTTTCTTTTCCCCGCTCGCCGCCGCCACCTCATCCCGCTCACAGAGGACGCTGGACCTCACCACGTTCTTCCAACTCGTGCCACAATCCTTCGACTGCAACAAGGCCCTTATAGGCTCCTTCAACCCCGGTGATACCGACTCCCTGAACAAGACATGGAAGGTATGTCTTCGTTTTTCTTTTGTTGTCTCTTTGTCCTTCTTTAATTTTTTGTTGTGACATCATCGATGCTAGGTGGGCACCATGATCGCCGGCTACCTCGAGCCTCACGTGGCGCCTCTAGCACTTCCAGAAACTCGTCCTCGACACTGACAATGCCAAGCCCAAGCGCGAGCTCAAGAACCATTCGAAACATGAGAACGACAAGCTCGACAAGGAGAAAGGCAGGTGAGCGCCCCTCCACATCGACCGTCTTCCTTCCTCTTTACCTCTGACACCCTTGACTCTAACTCGTTGTCCGCCACCCCCTCTCTTCGCCTACGCCACCCGTCCTTGCACTTGTAAGAGCATCGAAGAGCTTGGACTCCTGGCTTCAAGCGTAACCACTCTACCGACATCATCTGTCGGCGCGCCGCCGAGAAGGAGCTCACCCGGGAAGCGAACCAATACACTCGCCTGGCACTATCAAACGAATGCAGTTCACTTTCTCCCTCGACCAACCTTCTCCCGTCTCCTCCAATCCCGCCCCAGTCAAAAAACTCGACCTCAAGCCGTCCGCAGAGTTTAAGGACAGTTCCCATCGCGGTCGACCCTCCGCACGGACATCCGCGGCCGAGGTCGACTCCGCCCCCACTCTGTCAGATGCCCACGACAAGGACCCTCCTCTCACCCAGCGGGCCCGCAAGCCCTCCGCCACACCGATGTTGGCCAGCCTGAAATCGACGACTATAATGTTTCTCCCCGGTTCCCGTCTCTATTTAACAACAATTTTAGCCCTTCTGCTCTCTTGTATTCATCTCCCTCTGTGACGAACGGTATGACTTATGGCGAAGGCGTGCGTGGCAATTCCGGCTCCGATTTCTCCATTCTCCGACCCACAATCGAACCCCCCTTGAGGAGATCCTCGAGTCTTCGTATAGTCCCGATCCTTGGGGTAGCGTATTTTCTACGGGCAGAACGACTCTCAGCAACATGACTGTATGGACATCTCCCAACACCCCTCCGACTCCGCCGATATCGTCATGCGCTACGACCCGTACTCCACCGGTAACTGCTCAGAGTATTCTTCGAGAATACTTACTCGCTCAACGGCCAGACTCACCCCAGACCGCCGCTCCTTCGAAGCTTGAGACACACAGTACCAGTACCAACAACGCGCCTGCGCCGACCAACAACGGCGGTAGCAGCAGCAACAATGGTACCGGCAACAGCAGTAGCAACTCCCGACCATCGCTGAGCGTGCGCACCCAGGGGGCGACGACACGGTCTTCTGGACCTGGTGCAACAGCAACCAACCCGGCTACGCAGGTGCCAACCAACCATTCGGCACCTGGCGGAGATAAGGCAGAGTGTTCGAACTGTAGCGCGACGCACACCCCGCTCTGGAGGAGGGGACTGAACGACGAGCTCAATTGCAACACTTGTGGGCTATACTGTAAGCTCGTAAGTGTTTGAGTCAAATTTTCTCTCGACGCGGGCACTTCGCTCTGATTGCCCTTTCCTGTCGAATGCTGCGGCAACTAGCATAAGTGCCCGCGCCCGAAGACTATGCGCAACAATCACGGCGAGCGCTCACGAGCAGCTCCTCACCCAGAGTCCAACGAAGTTATGGGTCAGTCTGCCTATCTTTCTCCTCGTTTGCACCATATGACTAATCGGCTCCATTTCCTTCGTTTGTTCATTTCACCTGCTGTTGAATCGAAGTGCTATAACTGCAACACCACCGCTACGCCCCTGTGGAGGAAGGATGACGAGGGCAAGACTGTCTGCAATGCGTGAGTGTCTTTCGTCTGTTTATGATAATATTCGTTCATCTCCTGGAGGCTCATCCGACTGTCTGGCTGCTTCTCTCTTTGCCTTTGCCTTCGCGCCTTTGGTCCACTCTCTGTGGTGTGATCTCCGCTGCTTCTCCTTCCAATCAGCTGCGGTTTGTAGTAAGTCCTTTCTCTCACACGCCCCAAGCCCATCGCCCTCCCACCACTTGTCTTGCAAAATGCTGACTTGTCTTCCTCGTGTTTCTCTCATTCCCGTTCGTGCCACACAACAGCTTCAAGCTGCACGGTTCTTCCCGACCCATCTCTATGAAATCTGATGTCATTCGTAAACGATCCCGGCACGAAGCCCACCATGCCTCCATCATCGGTGGGAATCCCCCCGATACACCCTCCGCCTCCCCGGGCGCGTCCCGTCGCACTTCTCCCACCTCGGGTCATGACGGAACGAACAACTCCAACTCGCTCTCCCCGATCCTCGCCCCCGATTTGACCACACAGATGAATGTCGGGCCCTTTGGGGGTGAGATGAGAGACGCCTACGGGGACACGTATGCTGACTACGTGGATTACTCGAGACATGGTGCACATCATAACCAGGGACGCTCGAGCGAGCTTGTCGGTGTGCTTGGTGGCGGACAAGGGGACAGTGGCACGATCTATGGGTCCACGGCGTCGGATGGCGGGTTCCAGCACGCGCTGAACCTTTCGCTTGGCGGCAGTGGCGGACCTGGCTCTTCTGGTTTCCCGGGCCCCTACCATCCTGGCTATATTTCGCAGATGCTCAGCTTCAATCACGTACAACTGGAACAGTGGCGAGAACTCGGATGTCGATTTGGATGGTCTCATGCACAGGTGCCACAAGCGTCGTTGTATGAACAACGACTCCACGACTGACCCTCCTTTCTACGCCGTCTTGTACTCGTTCTTCAGCGGCTCATTCACGTCATCCACCTTAACGTCCGTGGCCGACGGTGTAGAGACTAGACGGCGAGCGGGAGCGTGGTGTGGTGATTCTAAGTGATTGGGTATGAATTGAGTATGAACATACTATATTTTTGCTATGTCGCTTTTGAGTGCGCTGTTGTCGTCCCACCCACAGTTTGCTTATATTTACATGCTCGCTTACTGTTTAATTTCTTGACCAGCAAAGATGTAGCCATTCTCTGTCATCCCAACTCCCTAGTACACCCATGTGTGACTGCCTGTTGTTAGCTAGTACTACAATATATATGATTTGCTCACAGTGACTGAATGACAATGATAAATTACTACCAAATGTGTGAGTTTTATTGCTAAATGTGTGAGATTATGATTCCCACTTTATAAGTAGCCATAATTAGAGTAAAATGTCCATCAATGTGTTGGCATTAGCCAGATTATACCCAGATGTGCAAAATTAGTGGGATGTGTCATAATTATTTCTCACTTATGAATAAATAGTTCTGGAGGGTTTTCCTGATGCCCACGGGTATAGAGCGAGAAGAGTGCCTAGACCAGAATAGACTGAAAAGTTAGGTTTAGGCAGATGCAGTCTTGCTGATGTCGGGGCACGAGCGCATTTATATCGAAACGCGGAGATTTCCGGTCGGCCAATTTCAACCGCTTTCGATGTTGTTATCCCCACTGAGGGCGCCTATTGCGGACCGGGATCTCCACTGTTATTCTATTGTTGTATTTTATTCCCTTTGTGAATGCATCAGCAAGACTGCATCTGCCTAAACCTAACTTTTCAGTCTATTCTGGTCTAGGCACTCTTCTCGCTCTATACCCGTGGGGCGCTCTCGATGCTCCGTGGTTTGATAGACCGATATAGCGCGAATAGATGGTTGTCCGAGCCTTGAATGGCATGTGAAGAAATCGAAATTCCGCGGGCTGTCAAAGGCTGTCAAGTCACGACTCGGACGCCTGCCCTCAACAACCATCTGCGCTCAATCATCGTTGATTTCTCTCACGAATTAGACTCTCTTGAAGCGTCCCCTCGGCGCTTCAAGCTTTGCTTTCATCTTCTTCCTTCCACCTCCTTTTCCTCCCTTTGTCCACCCACAACCGTCACTTTCTTCCGGCAGTATACATCGACGGCGCGCACTTGTGCACAACTGGAACTCGACGACACCAAAGGAGGAGACACAGCAGACACCTTACGGGTCGGGGTTGCAGAAAATCCCGTAGCTGAACATACCAGGCGAGTCATACCCTCCTTTGCGACTACTCTCCGTTTCGTTCGACTGACATGACCATATCTATTTTCAGCTTATCCCCTGCTCTTACCCGCT